TTCCCTTGTTTTACTAAATCTTGTCCAAAAGGTAGCATTAGACAAGAAAGGATTTGGTGTTCAAGACAAGTTCAATGGCTGGGGGCATAGAGGCTAGAAAACTTAAAGCAGCAGAAAATGCAACACCATAAATTGTTCAGAAATGGAAGAGCTCAGTCCTTAAAATAAGAGGGAAGATGCTGGACCTTCTTAATAAAACTGTCATTGCTTTGTCCTCTCTGCTACCAGCTACTGCTTCACAAAAACCTAAATGCAGCCATGACATGAAAACATGCATGCTAGTCTGTCTGGATAAGGAATGCAACACCACTACCACAGACACTGCTGGGGGATACCCAAAATTAGTAGAACTGTCTACCCATTTATTGTCTCACCTTTAAATGTATATAATATCATCAATAAGGATGCACATATTCAACAGATGTATGCCACAACATCAAAACTAAAAGGTCTTGAAAGAACGAAATTTTGATTCTTCATTATATTCTATTACACAGACTTATTACATTCAACCCCATGTTTTGAAATACCAGGAACAGCCCACAGAAGCCTACAGCAGCTCTGTATCAGTCAGCTGAATGGTTAAAATATCTCAAACTTCACAATGGTTATCTACAAAGACGATGAATAAAACATTTTTTTCCCAACCTAAATAGGGTTTAATTCTTTACACTTCTTATCTGTGTCCACTCGATTCTTACCTCTATTTAGATTTTTAATATATACATGAGATATACATAAATTGCCTCTGTTCAACAAGGATTTGGACAATGCTTTGAGACATGATTTAATTTTTCGGCTGCCCTGTGCAGAGTCAGAAATTGGACTTGATGATCCTTGTGGGTCCCCTCCAGATCAGGGGTCTCAATAATTTCTTTGGGAAGAACATATTGTGTAGGAGTAGTCTTGGTAGAGTTTGAACTACCTCATTATTATGGACTACAGAGAGCTTACAATTAAATTTTACATTCAGGGTAATTATGAAATTAATAAATGAAGTAATAGCCAGTGTTTCAAAATGCCTTCAAAATGAACTCACGGGGAAAGTGGACTAACCATTTTCAACTTTTTCCTAATAGTTTTAACAATGTGAGTTCGTTACTATATTTCTATGTAACAAAATCAACAACTACCAACCGCTCAGTAAATTCAAGAAATAGAACTATGTATTTCTATTTTCAAATTAATATGCATACATCTCATTTGGTAAGCATCTGTCTCCAAACACTGTTAATCTGAATCCTACCTTCACAGATCTCATACTATACCTATTATTTCTGAATACACCACCAGGCAGTAGGGTAGCAAAGATGATAGTGTACTAGCTATCAAATAACAGAGTTTCCTGTTGTCCTATAGTAAAATAAAAATAAAGGCACACACCCACCCACACTGCTGTCAGTGTATCAACGTTTCTCTCTGCAGAACAAAGCATAGCTGCTGGCCAATATTCTTAGGATAGCTTGCTAACAATCTAGGGTAAGATTGCTTGTAGCAACAATTACACCGTCCATGAAGAAGTCACTGAACTTTACTCCTGAAGCACTGTTATACATTTATAATTTCACAGTAAACCATCTAATCAAGCCCACTCCAGAGAGCAGCAGTAAGCTTAAATTGTCCCTGAAAATGACAACATAAAATATCTGCTACAGTTTGAAAAATGATACAGTGGGGAAAAGAAAAAAAGAAGTTACTTTGGTAATCCATCAATCAAAAAGTTCATTTAAATATGGGTTGGGGACAAATGTATGCCTGATGAATATGACACATTTCAAGTACATGCATAATAAATCTATGACGTCAATCATGTGCTATTGTGTCATTTCACTGTAAACTGTACAATTAGTTAATAAATAATACTTCCTCTGAGAAATAAGCAACCAAATTTCACATAGAAATTATTTTTAAGTGAGAACTTAATTAAAAATAAATAAATGTAGGTAGTGCCTGTGTTCCTCCATTTAAATTGAGTACACATCACAGAACAGCCTTGCCTGAAGCTGTGAGTTTACAGCACAGCTCTGATTCTCAAATAAACAAAAGGCAGTTCCAGCAAATCACATTTAACATGTCACACACGAGCATTTCAAATTCATGTGAATAATAACGCCTAAAGCAGAAACAGCAGCAGTTTGAAAGATACAATTTTCTTAATACGAGCTTCAAATACACCAATACCACAAATACACCTAGTGAATTTAGAAAGCCTAGAAAATACTATACTAACATGTGAATTTATACAAGTTATCAGATCTGCTTGTTTTGACATAAATAAAAAGCTTCAAAACGGTTGATTAAATAGAGCAGGCAGACACAGACTAATGTGCCTGTTCTCATATTGCTTTTGTTTTTCACCAGTAACAAACTGGTGAAACAAACCAGTAACAAACTGGTGAACACAGTAACTGGTCCAGTATTAGCTACTTAAGGAATTCATAATCCTGTAAAAAACTGTGATCAAAGACCTTAAGAAACATGCAGCTTTTACCACAGTAGAGGGTCTCTGCTACAAGACAGAAAGTTAAGTTTCATCTGCACTGGTTTCTTTTCCTGTTACATCTGAACCAGCCAAGTTGGTAACATTTACTAAAACACCTGAATATAGACTAACAAGAGCCAAGAAAAAGGAGCTTCAGGTGTACTACAGCTAACTTCCGTACTGCTAAAGAGCTGTTATGATATGCACTGCCTTTCTAGAAGGTCAGCTAGGCTATTTATAAGCTATTTTAATAGTCTTAAACACGTGAGTTCCCTATACTTGGACACCACTTTCTTTCCCCAACCCCACCAGACAGATGTATCTGTAAATTACATGATGAAACTAGGAAATTCTGTAATTAAATACTTGCTTCCGATAGATTAAAAGCAAATAAAGAACAAGAAATAGTTTTTCAAACAGAATATAAAAGGGATTAAACTGCGAGATCTGTACTGTAGATGCAGATTAAAAAAAAAAAGAATAATCAATAAATTGGAAACTATTAAGTCAGCACACAAGAAAAGAGCTATGAGGTCATCTCCTGACATTCAAATTATTTGTACTTCAGAAGCAGTTAGAATACTAAAATAAATATAAATAATACAAACCCATAACCCAGCAAACTAAACCAGAACTGAGACTTCAGCTGATTTCTGGCAGCGGGAAAAGAAAAAGAAGCAATCTGTCCTTGTACAAATTACTCTTTTTTCAAGACATATCAAAGCTGATGTACATCAGCTGAGAAGTGTTTGCACTGCAGCAACTGCTATCTAATTGTCAGCCAGTCAACTAACAATGTTTTCTATTACAAGAGATTAAAACCAATGCAAAGGAACTTTCCACGGTTACTACAGCAGATGTTTATTTTGGTTTTAACATGGTATTTGCCAAAAATATTTTTAGAGTAATTTGTTGTAGCAGTTGCATACAAAAAAAGGACATAAATATCAATTCTGTTACCTTAAAACATATGGGGAACTATATGGCCTGGGCTCTGCATCAACCAGTACCACACAACCTGCTCATCAGAAGTTGAAAGATCTACAAGTCTTCTACAAATACAAAAAGTTCCACTTCCAACACGCTAACTAAAAATAATGCAGTACTTTTGTAAACCTAGAATCAGCCTGTATTATGAACAGATCTTTTTCAACACTAAAGGATTTTCCTGGCCCCCCAGGCCATAAGATAGCCTTATTACTGACCCCTCCAAGTAGAAGTTTTACAATTGAGTGGTAGAGTTGAAAAGTGATGTCCTGTTGTTTTTCTGAAAGTTCTAGATAGTTGAGGGGAAAGGGAGCAACAATGCAACTGTGGATGCTGTACTTTTGTTACTTCATGCTAGAAACAATTTGTGCAACCAGGATCAGTCATTTTAGGCTTAAAACTTTTCAACTGCCAATATAAAGAGTTTTGAACTAACATTTGTAGTATGGACCATGTTTATACTTGAATCAGCCTGAAGACCTTACAGCAGTACAATAGCTGCAACAAGCCTTCAAAGAGGACAAAGTAGAGCAAATTAACAGCCAAAATTAGTTCTTGTACTAGAGCATGAAAAAAACCACTAACTTTTCCTACATCACTTGTAGTAAAGCTAGTCCATCTAAAACCCATGAAAAGAAAATAATGCTGGCAACATGTCAAGGAGCAGTTTTCTCCACCTTAAGGCTACAAAGAGCTAACAGTGACTTTCCACCTGCAGTTCATTATCCATGTAATACAATATTTTCCCCTGTTACAAGAAGAGAATTTGTTTGGAACGAGCTAAACTGGAAGTATGGAAGGACTTCAAACCCCAGAAGTGAATTTTTAATCAAGACAATTATTATTACAATTAGCTCCCTAGTTGTAATGTTTGATGCAAGAGCCTGTTAATCCTCTCAAGGCAGCCTGAACTGGCCTGACTGCACACTTCTTTTTCTCCACCATCACAATTCTCAGAATCAGGATGAATCCTCTTACACACATTGCAAGCATCCATTCAGTGAAGATTAGCATAATATTAAGGCCATCTGAAGTACAGAAATGAACAGCACTGAATGTTTTATCGTGTAGCCATTCGGTTATGCGCAAGAGGGAGCAACCCAGCCAAGACACGTGGCACAAATTACCATCATTACAATTTTTTCCATGACTTTAAGAACGGTGGTCAACACCTGCATGCCAACATGAAAGTCACAATGCACTTCCAGGGCCTATTCTTAAGTAAAGCCAGTCTGGCAAGACTGAAGAACCAAAATACCAATCTGCTTTGGCACAAAATTAAGCGGGCACATAATACTCCACCTTCCTTATAAAGCTCAATATTTACAAGGCTAAATATCCAGATACTTTTTATTTTTTTAATACAAAGGACCTATTTAAAACAATATTCCTCCCTCTATTCATAACCTAGTATGACAGTCAAGAAATAACAGTCTATTGCTTGTTGCTGGCTATTTCCTTTTCCTGTTCTGACTCAGAGAAGCTGAGAGCATGAATTAAGTCATATTCACTTCCGTCCCTATTCACCTACCTGATATAGGGATCCCTCCCAGACCTGTGCTGTGCTGTGGTGGGAGATTCAAGTCCAAGAAATTACTATTTGAGGTGGGATTTGCTGTGTGGTTCAAGTGCATGATGCTATTGCGTGGGAAGGCCATCCAAGGATAGCGAGCTGCTTGGCCTGGAAAACTGAAGGAGTTGTAAACTGCTCGATGCTGTTGAAACTGTGGAAACCTCTGTGGCATGACTGGAAAGGTGCTACTGAGAGAGTTGGCATTTGTGGGTGCAGCAGGATGCAGGAATCCAGAACCTGGCCCTTTGGCAGTTGTAGTGTGTGGGGTAGGGTTCTGAAGAGATGTGGGCGAAAGGGAAGGTTGGTCTTGGACTGACAGTTCCTTCTCAATCAGGTCTGCTAAGGCTTTGCGGGTGATGTCAAAGGGATCAAACCCTAAGTCGTCCTCTTGCTGTTTGGAGGAACCAAACCCAAAAGCTGCTTGCCAGTCTGTGGAGGAGGATACTGGTATAGTTTCTGTTGGAAGAAGAAAGGAACAGGATTTAGAACAAGAATTAGAAATCATTTTCCCATTTAAAAATTTCACCCTGTGGTCCTTTATCTTTCATATAATACTACTTTATACGTTCCCCAAAGACACCTTATTCATCAGCTTAGAATGCCGTTTTCAGATCAAACTGTCATAGACTACTACTAAAGATGAAGTGCTAGAAGTGGCAAATAACATTTTTACTGCACAGTTGCTCTGTTCCTGAACTATAGAAAAACCTTATCCAGAAAGTATTTTCAGGAGTAGTCCCACTTGCCTAGAACCTTCTTTACCCCATATTACTTCATGGAAGTGTGAACAAGCAGAGTTTAAGTAAGGTTGTTACTCAGTTCAGTATTTTGCTTTCACTATTAATGCTGTGCAAAAAAGATAAGCAGGATGCTCCCTCTCAAAAGAGAGAGCCTCAGAGCACTAGTTCAAAAAACAAAACCAAAATCAAGAAAGAAACAAAACCCACAAAAAATCCCCTACGGTTTACCATTATGAAGAGAAACAAGCTGAATTCTTGAGGAGATACAATGATAAAAAAAGGGAACTGCATGACAAGATACTGTTAAATATTTTAAGGCAGTGTTGCAAAAAAAGTTATCAGAATTCGTCTTCATTTTCAGTTACTACTTCTTTTCATTATTTTGTTAAGTTTGTTATTTAAGTTCAGTGAATACTGGTCTATCTTCACATTATTTTTCTTCAAAATTGTGGTCAAGAAAGCTGCTAAGTTCAGGCTAGCATCACTTGCAACATCAACTCCCTCTGCTGGTAGGGACCTGGTCTGCTTCTTAAGAAGGTTCAGTATCCTCTCAGACAAGAAATCTATGCTTCTATTTTCACTCTAAAATCCATGACGATAGATAAAGAGTTGCTAGGCCAAGAAGAACTTGTCTTTTGCATTCTTATTTAAACAGCAACAATATACTTTATGTTAACTATGATCTCTAGTGCCTGGAAATTCTCTCACTGCTACTTAATCCTCACAAAATTGGTGCATCAAGTGCCTTAGCAGAAAGGAATTTCCTTGGCAATAAATATTTTTACAATTCTTTATAATTTTTACAATTTTTTATAATTCTGTTTACAAACAGAATTATGATATTCAGGAGAAAGATCAACATCAGAAGATGAATAATCACTAAGTAAACCAACTTTATCTTAACATATTATTTACATTCATTTTTTTACTGGTATTTTTTCATTTAGTTTTCTAACAATTTCCTCAGACTTAAAATTTGTGAGCTCTTAAATACTGTTAACTATTCCCAAGACTATATAATTACAACTAAAACTATGATTCATGCATATGACAACGTATTTCATAGGGGAGTAACTGAAAAATACAGGTATCTTTCAGATGATGAAATTAAACATAACTTGTCTGAGTTTATAGAATCTCATCTCAGATTAGATGCTTTCAGGTAACCACTCAGGATACTAAGAAAATTCTGAATTCTACAGAACAGCTTCTGATATTAGCATTAAAAATTATCACACCAATATATACTAATACCATGTACTTTCCCCACTCTCAATAAAAACCTTTAACACTAAATATTAAAGTATATATGTCACATCCTATGCATATTTCTAGGAAAAACTAAAATAAGCACTCTGATAATTTTGCCATGCAGTTTGAAAGCTCTGCAAAGTTTCTTTAAGAAACAACCCTTTGGTCAGTGCAATTCATCTGCAGTTAAGTAACAAATTTTAAGTATTTGTAAGGGGGAAAAACACAGCATGGAACAAATCCTAGAGTTTTAGGTTCTACAGAGTTTTAAGCTCTGTACTACTCTGTACAAGTTTTTATCAACTACAAAAGCAAGCAATACCCAGCAGCCATGTAAGCTGTGGATGTACCTGATGTGAAGAGGCTCTGTGGTTCTGGTGCTGTGGGCCAGTCACTTGAAGTCTGTGGAGAGCTGGGGAATGGAGGAAGCCCACTAGGGATGGGGTTGGGGTGTCGGAAGTTGTCAGAGAAGAGTGACTGTGATTCTGTTACAGCCCCTTCAAAAGGAGACCGTGCACTGTGATTAGATGAACTGATGGGTATAACTGGATTGGGTTTTGTTAAACCAGGTGGTGGTGAAGGTGTGTCACTGTTTGTTATCTGCAAGCAAGAGAGAAAGAGAAAAATTAGGACATGAGTTGATGTATTAAATATTCTTCATTAACTCAGATGAAAAGTTTCCTCAAAACTTCTGGCCACAATTAGGTTTGTTAATATATAGATCAGCACAAGGTCAAACAAAAAATCAACTTAGCAATAGCATTTCTAAATTTTGTTTAAAATCATCACAGAATCAACTAGAGTAGAAAAAAACCTTTGAAATCATGACCTATGACTAAACACAACCTTGTCAGCCAGACCTTGGCACTAAGTGCCACATCCAGTCTTTTCTTAAACACCTCCAGATATGGAGACTTCACTACCTCCCGGACAGCCCATCCCAATGCCCAATTATGATACACTTCAGAAAATGCTTGCTTCTCCAGCTGAAAGTTGCACTAAATCCTCAAATTCACTTGCTACTTTCAGAGCACTTATCTTTGTGCCTTACCTGCTGAGAGCTGTCACCATTTCCTATACTGAGGGAATCTGAAGGTTTATCAATAGGGCTGCAAAAGTGGGAGGGAAAAAGACAGTAAGAGACCCAAGTACTTAACATGAAAAATCAACATTTGCTTTTGTAGTGGAAGAAAAGCCTTAAAATAAAGACAAAAATTAAGAAGTAGGAATTAAGAAGGAAAAAAGTACACTTATTTTTTATGAGACTGCTATTTTAATCATAAGCATTCCAATCATTTGTCATATTCTGTAATACTTTTCACCATTCTCTGTTCTGTTTGCTGACCACCTAAAGGAACAAAAGTTTTGAACATGTTCATAACAACTCTATGCCATACAAAACCCCAGAACCCTATACTATGACAGCATTCTGTAACAGTCAGTTCCATCTATTTTACTACTGTAAAGAAACTTCAAAAGATTTATTTTCCAAACTTTTCAGTTTCTGTACAAATCCTAAATAAATCTGGGAGAGATAAAACATTAAATTAACATTTTAGTCTTGGTGGCAAGTTAAGCTTCCCACCAGCCTTTAAGATTTTAACTGGCAAATATTAGTCCCAAGTTAAAAAAAATGAGGTTTGAGATGACAGAAGGGGGGAAAAAACACAGCATAAAAATCTGCCAAAAATGAGAATAAAATACTGCAAAAAAACACCTCAGAAAGCCATTCTCTGTAAATTATTGTGACTTGGCTGAAATGGCCCATCTCAGGTTTCAAGAATCTTATGGGCATTTGTGAGTTGCCTCAATCATGCTAAACACAGAACTAATGAAATGGCATTATTGAAGCTCACACTAAAATCTTTGCTTTGCAACTTCAAGGTACTCTCATTTTCATCTACCAATAAGAAAAGATGCAGAAGCATTAGGCTGCACAGGCCAGTACACAGATTTTACAAACAAGCATCAGAAGTAAGAACATGAACTTCAGTTCCACAAAGAGGCCACAATATGATACAAGGCAAATTATAATCATGATGTTGAAAGATGTATGTGACAATTTTCTTTTAACTGGGTGCAGACTTCAGATTCTAGATACACCTTGGTTTTGAACAGCCCCTGCTGCTGCAAAATTTAATTACTGCATATAGCCATAAAATAAGATCCGTTCATAAGATTTGCTCCACTTGCAATTTTTCCTCACCCCAAAATGACTAATTGAAACCCAGCAAAATTACTTCTCCACTCTAAAAGAAACTGTGTAAGAGTAATCATCAATACATTTTTTTTGTGAAAAAAGAGCACTGATTGAGTCAGTATCTCAAACAGATAAATTAAGCTGAAATATTTATAACTATAAAAGAAAAATCACTGTATTATTCCAGTGAAGATTTACAACTACTTAGTGATCCAACAGTGTGAATAAATCTCTTCCATTTGAAACATACTGCTTTTGGTTAGTAATTTCTAAATACCTATAGCACAGAAGTTTGCTGTAGACTTCATTACACAATCAGTTCTGATTGAAGAGCTGATATTCCAGTTAAATTCTTTTCCTACAGGGCTAACAGTCACAATACTGCAGTTTAAAAAGGTATGAGCAAGACAACTTTTATTGACAATCTAAATGATGAAAACATTTATTATACTTGAACCTGCCTAAGGAGTCTTTATTTGAAAGACTGAGTTCCAGCCCTCAAGAATGACTAAGGCTCATTATCTATTGACTACAATAATTTTATTTACATTAAATACATTCTTTTAAAAAAAAAGAACTGCACATCACTACTGATTTGCAATTCACAGGCTCTCTGATTGCTCCCCAATTGGACTGCTATTTAGCCTAACAAGAAGGTACCACTTTCAACAACACTCTCCATTTTAATGCATTGGTTCAATATTGATTTAAAATGAAGATTGGCTGCCTAATCAGCAGCTTTTTTCCCATCCAACCTCTGAATGAGCCTAACGTTTATTACCTAAAGTGGTCTGTAAAGAACAAACCAGACTACAGACTAAGACTGTAAGTGATGCATAAGGTGGAAGAGGACACCAGTTCTATTAAAGAAGGGCACCAAAAAAGAAAAAAATGTTGTCTGGCAATAAGCGATTATTGTAAGCAGATGAATTACTTCCTCTACACAAAGAAGCCTCAGTTGAATCTGCTGCCCTGTTGTCCCTCTCAGAAGTAATTGGGGAACCCTTTCCTCTGTGCCATGCTTCTAGAACACAGTACTGGAAGGAAATGACAGGTATTTTAGCCCTAACATTTAACTTCCCTCTACTGAGGCTTTTCCAAGTGACAAGCCTCCTGATGTACAGCAAATAGCATGTAAGTTTTGTGGAAGCTTCTGTACAGAAAAAAGGAAGGGCTCAGCTCTGACTGGGACTTGCAGCTGTACAAGCTGTTGATCCCCTGATTTTTCTGTTCCACTCAGCCATTAACTGTAGTGCCACTTAGAAACTTCATGTTTGACTCCTGCAGAGTCTGCCAATCAGTGTTTTGAACATGGGCTACACTAAGCCCAGCTTTTTGTGACCTGATCAAGGTTTGTATCCAGCTCTCCATCCAGAGAGACTGAAGAATCATTCCCTCCACACCAATCAGTGAGAGAGAAAGCAAGCTATCTGAAGTATAAAAGGCAGCGCAATTACCCGAAATCTGAGTCTGCACCATCTGGAGTCATGTGTTCTGGGTCTGTGCCATTTTCTAATATAGGAGGCGTTTTCCTGTGTTCCATTGTTAAACCGTTGGCTGATTTACTTGAACTCTGTAATGATGGCCAGGCATCTTTGTTATTACTGTTGGGTCTGGAAAAAGGCAAGAGTAAAATAAAATAAAAAAAAAAAATAGAAGAGTTCAAGTTATGAAGAAAGTGTTTTAAAAATTGTAAACACTGGGGAAATAAATCCTTGTGCCAGACAATCCATAAGAATAGATTTATCTGGATATTATTTTTCAGATTTAAATGGTGATGACTTAAAAAAAATAATTAGTAGGATAGGCAGGGTAGAGAGAAAACCAGAGGTAATTCTGTTTTCTTTCCTGAATAGATAGCTGCTTAGCTAGTCCTAAAGTCCAAACTTGCCCATTTGAGGGAGAGTAAAAAAAGGTAAATAAAAATTAAAAACGCCATCAATAGTTCAAGTGTCCAGACCTCTGCATACCTCATTTAGAATTACTTTCTATAGCCCAGAACTATTTTTAAGTTCTTTAAGTCATGAGCTAAGTCATTCTTTTTTTAATGCATGTTTTATACTCCAGGTTCTATCAAGCCTGGCCACAACAGATGAAGTTTTATGTTTTACATCTACACAGGAGTCCACAGCTTCACTAACAGACCATGAGATCAGCCAGACCAACACATTGTTCAAGTTACTGCTCCCCTCATTTCTAGTTTAAAGCCATAATTACTTCCCTTTTATAAAGTAATATTAAATTTAATTTTAGAGTGCACATCAAAACTGAAAAAAGTTCAAGAGAGGACTCAAAGCCCAAGATTTTGTTGTAAATAGTTACATTCTGTACAAATTTAAGCAAAATGGAATACAGTCTATAACCAAACAGATTCAAATACAGTGTTGTCTGCTAACCCTGCAATCTTATTATAGAAGATCTGCTTTTGTGTTCTGAAGTTCTTCTACGTTACCTGTAGCTTTTTATTTGCTTCTATTAAGAGAAGTTTTAGTGTCCAAGACCTGTCTTCCTAAGGAAGCAGCTTTCACCAATAAAGCTTTTTAACATATGTCCTTCCTGCTGTTCCCCTATGTTAGTATGTTCCTATTACATGGTCCAACACTTACTCTGCATCTTTAGGTCAATTTTCTAACTTCACAGTCACAATCTGGAAATTTCGGTAACTGCTTATAGCAACACAAACGTTTCCTAGTTCAGTTCAGATAAAATTTGTAGCTCCACTCAAATCTCAGTATTTTAAGGTTTGTTATTCTGTATCCATCTTTTCTCAACTACCTATACAATATGTACATAGATGGGTACTTGACTGATTTACTGATCTCATCTTGGCTTTGCACACATTTGGATTAAGTTAGAGCTGGTGAGTTGATTAGATACAGAACATCAGGGAAATGAAGAGACAGCAGCAGCATATCTGTCATTTAATAGTCTCACTTGTACAAAAATGAACTGAAATCCAGATATATCAAAACTGTCATTCCATTAACAGATTTGTTATAAATATCTAAATTTATGTTCATTACACAGCAAAGCCATCTCTATAGCAAAACCGACTTTAAAATGCCAGTTAAAAGTCAGTTTTGCATCCAAGGAGAAAGGGAAAGAGAAACAAATTAGTTTATGTTTTCAGGTGGGGGGTTTTGAGTTTGTGGGGTGGGTTTTTTTTGTTTCAGTTACGTTCAGGCTGCATGTCTCTGAAGGGGTGTTCTCTAAAAGATCAGCACATGCTTAATAATTGGCTCTTCTTGTAGCATAAGAAAAGTTAGTTTTCTTTCAATTTCTGAAGAAACTTTCAGTTCTTCAGAAAAACGTCATCAAGAAAATTAAAAAAGCTTGATCCATTTTAAATGTGGAATATAACTCCAATTTTAAAAGAACATAGTCACCATGATTATCAAGTAACATACTAAGAGATAAGTACACAAACTGGCCCTAGGGGATTTTAAGAGTTGCCTTCAGCAAGAATAAAAGGTCTGCAAGTAGGACCTTTCAAATTAAAACAATTGTAGAAAAACACCAGAGTTTAACAAACTGTTTTCTACTACTGGGTATTTCTAATTAAGCACCTACTACTTAGAACTCAACTTCTGTTCCATTCCATTATGAAACAGATATTCTGCACCCCAGAAACACAAGAAGCATTTCAGACTTGCCAGAAGTTGTGACAAACTGCTAAAAATATGAATATTGTATCAATGAATCCTATGAAAAAAATCTTAGAACCCAGATGGGTAGAAACTGTGAAAGAACAATGTGCATTCACTGGTGTAAAAGCTACATTTTGTACTGATGAGATGGGTCTTGATGAAACATGTCAAAATCCCAGCTGCAAGAAATGCACTTTTCAACCCTAAAGGTGGTACCTAGGCATTAACAAAGAACAGAGTCCAAGCTGTGATTAAGCTGTTCAGCTGACAAGAGAAATTACCTCCAAAAATTACCACTTGCTGCCGTTACAGTAACGTGCCATTTTTTCCGTAAGTGTTAAATGTTAGCACCACAGACTGGCCAAGCTCCAACTCCTAATTGCTTCTGGAAGGCTTAAAAGTTTGGTGCAGTTTCAGATAGCGCATTCTTCCCGCACTGGTATAATTTGTTTGCTAGGATCTAATAAGGTTTCAAATTAAAATTAGTTCAAATTTCAAACATAAAATAATCAATACCAAATTCAAGAAGTGGTGTATCTGTTTTGCTTGCTGTACTTTACCTTTGCAGTCAATATTGAACCAGTGCCTGAGAAATAAGAAGCAACTCTGTCCTTAAGAAAAAAAGATCCCTCTGGAAGCCCTGGCCACTTGCAGTCAAAGTGCATATGAAACTGCCTCCAGAAATTCAAGAAAATAGTCCCAGTATACCAGCTGGAATACCAGTTCTCAGAATTGTATTCTGCTCATTCAAGATACATTGACAGTATTTTAGATACAGAACCCACTTTCTCACTTAGAGGGCTGTGCAGTGATGCTGCCACTGGCAAACTACTGTCTGAAAAATTCCATAGTGCATGAACTGGCACACAACACAAACCCTGAATACAAGGCCAAGGTACATATGAAGTGCAATCTAACTTTCACGTTTTGCTCTGCCCATCTCCTTTATCAAACTCCTACAAAAAGGAGTGGAAGAAATTGTAAACAGTTTTTATTTCTTTATCTTAAATATGACATTTGAATGAATAATTAAGGACTGGTAACCACAGACTTTCATTTATCTTTGTGTGACGATATACTCATATGGATAGAAACATTTTCACAACTTATTGAACAAACTACCTCAACAGAACATTATTTTAGCAAGCCATAGTAAGTGATATCTGCAATTACAATATAGTAAAGAATATATGGACAGCACCATAAATTATGATGTAAAAAACCGTATTAAGGTCATGAGGTTTCTCAGTAATAAAAATACAGACTGCATTTATAATGACACCATACCAAGAAGTAGACATCTGGTCTTTAAAAAATACGTTTGGTTTTGCAAATATAAAATACAAGGTCTTCTTTCAGAAGACCACCTTCCAAACTACCGATTCAAATGTAGAAACATGTTTCATTCCTAAGACACACACTGTTTTGGAACAAAGTGGTGCATGTGTCCTGGTTCCAGCCAGGACAGTGTTAATTGTTGCACTGGACAGGAAGGGGCATGGCAAGGACAAAGAGGTATCAATTCTATACCACCTTAAGTAATTTTCTGGGGACTGGGGAAGGACTCTCTAATGGGTCAGCATAGCCTAGCAGAAGAAGTGGTCAGGACTGCTGGGGGATCACCCTTCATTGTGGGGTGAGAAATCACTTGTGAATCATTTGACTCTTTTACCCAGTGTCGTTTGTACTGTTGCTGTTGCTGTTTGTTTTCTTATTTCACTGCTGTCTCCAGTAAATTGTTTTGATCTTAACCTTCTGTGCCTCCAATTCTCCTCTCCTGCCTGATACAGGGGAGGGCAAGGGGGAGGAGTGTGGAGTGGCTTCAGAGGGAACATTAAATTGGAGAATATCGCTCCTGAACAATATGTCTCTCCACACAGAAAACCTATCAGATTTTATCGTATAATAGGTACTAAAAACAGTAGGCAATTTGGGGAATCAAACAGGAATAAAAATTTCCTTTGGAATAACCAGAAAAAATAACCAGGCAGTCCAGCATCAGTACTTATGCATCCTACCTCTGCAGTGCTGTCACTTTGTTCTTATTCTTGTCAACTGTACCCGTAGATAATTGGAGAAAGTTGGGGTTTAGTTTGTATAATTCTTGCAGTAGTTTCTGTTCGTATTCCTGGTGCTTACCCGCCTAAGGAAAGAGAAACCCACAATGAATGAATAGTGGTTTAATATATATATTTATAGTTACAAATTTTTATATATATATATTTAATATGCCCATGTATATATATATGGTATGTCCCAAAGCTTAGTAATTTAGCATTTACAACTTATCAGATCACCCTGTCAAACTCAAAACAGTGCTTCCCACTCTCAGTATAGATGTAATCTCAATGGCTCTAAAACTTGTGTAGAAATCATTTGGATGTACCTACCTATTTATAATTTTTTGAGACCTCTAAAGCAGAAAAGCACCTATAACCCTATTATAACTTGGTCCTCAGTTCTAATCAAGAGCTTCACAAATACACCATTAGAAACAACAAACAGATATCTCTGATATCTCTGAAGGCAGTCTGCATTTCATATTTCAACCATACTATGCTTTTCAGCAATGGGAAGGAACAAAAAGTTCCTTTTAAACAAGAAGTTCTTCCAAAATGAAAGTAATTTTATATTGGCTTAATAAAACAGCTGAGGTGTATGACATGACAAGCAGTATATTCTGAGCAATAACTCATTCTTTTTAATAACTAAAAAATTGAAATATTCTTTCAGCTAATTAAATTGATTGAGAACAACTTCTTGCTTTCAGAAATTGTGGCGGTCCAATCCAACTCCAGAGTACTAGAATTTGGCAAATGAAGGAAAAGAGTATTTTTCAGTCTAGCTTGCAGATAACATTGTGGCTTAATTTATAAAAAAAGCCCTGCAAGATCTACTCCTACCCCCAACATTGAAGGTAACATCTGAAATTCAAGATGAGGATTCATAGCTTTTGTAGGCTGTTATGACACTCCAACCTAAGAATTACTACTTGCAAGTTAAGTATTATGAGTTGAATCAAGATACAAAATAAAACGGTGAATTTGAAGTTGTCAATAGCTTTTCTCTACAGTTTCCAAATACTAGAAGATGTCTAGCAAAGGAAATAAGTGCCAAGATTTATGGTCCGGTCTTCTAAATCTTGAATCTGAAACACCAAATTTATTATCTATCACATCTTCATTATTGATTTAGAAGCTCTCACACTACTTGTACACACAAAATTTCACTTTTTTCTTACATTAATTAATTCCTTAAGGTTTTGTTGGAACAAGAATGGAATTAGTGCACAGGCAATGTGGACACACCCCTAGAAAAATTTTACAACCTGAAAGAAAAATGTAACTTGTTTCCTCAAGAAAATATTATACATGAATAGACAAATACAAAAAAATAGTACTGCTGATAAACTACAATCCCTTATGCGTACCTGTAGAAGGCCAACTGCATATCTCACTGGAATACTTCAGGTCAAACCCTATTAATGCCTCCATTATTTTCCTATTAAATTCTCCAGTTCTCCATTGCTGTTTGATTCTGAACATGTCCTTATGCAGTCAACTTATACCACCTCTCATGAAGGACTGAAACATCTGGTGTATGCATCATCTTACTCACTCTGTCAGTGTCTACACCCAAGTTGCTACCTGTAGTAGGAAAAAGTGTGGTTCTACAGTATGGCTCACCTAAATGCAAACCTTGAGATATTCTGCACCCTGGAAATGCTTCTTTCACCATCCAACTACGACTGTAGCAACTAGGTTGATGCACAGATTTGCACAAGTAATGATTTTCAAACATTAAGCAGCTAAGTAAGAAGAAACCTCTCTGGATCTTTCAACTTGCTTCTGAAACCAAAGACTGAATATCATGGCCAGGTACATCGAGGTCAGTCTTAAGTTCATTTACTTGCCACACAAATGCAAGAAAGCAACAAGATTAAAATCCTATAAGGGAGCTTGCAATAATTGTGTTTTATTTGTAACAGACAAACCAGAGGCCAAACTCGGCATCTCAACCCACCTTGAATTCCCAGTTTCACTTTCTGAGACTTCCTTGAGTTCTATTAATTCTTTTTAGTTTGCCACAACATTTAGATCTATTAATCATTTAACCTAGAATGCAAATTCATCCACTGACAATATTTTTTAAAATACAGAGTCAAAGTCGCAACCATGAACATTCAATCTCATTAAATGGACCTGGAAATTCACTGACACTAACCCTATTGCAGGAAAGCTGGCACACAAAGAACAATGTACCTATTTGCATAATTTTCAATTACATTTAAGAAAGCAATGAGAAATCCAAAAAAAGTTTAAGCAATATAACAAGGAACAGGGAAGGAAGATTCATGTAAGTCACCAAGATGATGTAAAATCTACTCAAGACTTGTGAAAAAACTCATACACGAAAATTAAATCCCAACCAAGGTATGTAGCCTATCAATTTTAACTAGCAGTCAAGCCAGAGGACTGACAGTTTGCCACTGACTTCTCTGAAAAGGGCTGCAGAAAAGATTCTGTGAACTACAGCTGCTAAGTAAACCTCCATCCTTCCAAAGATTACAGGGTAGCAATAATAATAATGGTAACAATTTTTAACAATAGAAATTCATGGATAAACACAAAGCACCGGGGTTGAATCTCGAGTATCTTTTGTAAAGGGAAACTCTGCTTCACTAACATCAATTCTTTATAGAGTCAATAAGCATAAATAGACTCCACAAAATTTTAAAAGAAGCTATTTATTAATCTGCCATGGAAGAGAGTTTGAAGATAGTTCAAAGTATAACTTTAAGGGTGCAGAAGCAAGCAATGAGAACTGATGACTAGCACCAGTTCTATGCAACACCATCAGCATGCACAAGGAAAGACTGAGGACCAAGTTCTTTGCTGACAATAATATGTTTTTTGGGTAATAAACTGCCACGTTGTTAATAAGGAGCTCCAAAATAATCCCAGAGAAATAGGTGAACAAGCAAATGGTGGAAAATAAGCTTCAACATGGACATGTCAGACGACATAAGAAGAAAAAAGCAGTCTAGACGATAGTAACCCACTCCTTATCTGTGAACTGGCTGTTATGGCTCAGAAAAAAGACGCTGAGGTTACTGCCAGCAGACCTCTGAAACTGTTAGTTGATTATGGACTAGCCACAAATAATGTGCTGGCCATCACTAAGAAGGCCACTTCAAATAAACTAGAACAAAATGAAAAAAAGCATATATTGCACAACATACAACACATTGAGAACCGATAAATGAAACTTGGCTTCCCTCGTATCACGCATCTGAGCTCTGCATCTCAAGGAGGACGCAGCTAGAAAATATAGAGAAGGGCAACATATTGCCGCAGAAATGGAGCAACTGCTTTAAAAAGAAGTTTAAAAGGCCAGAAACTATGATTTGGAGAGAAAGCCAGGAGAGACTAGATCAAGCTTTGCCACCTTACAAAGGCAATGAATAAAGTAAGGGGTTTTGCTTTAAGCAAGCACTACAAAGCTAAGATTAAGGCACACTTAACAAAACTAACTGGTTAGCATTTTAACACATGCAAAAGAAAGCACTTGACAAAAGAGCTAGTGAATTTCTGGGGCTTTCTGCCACAGAAGACTAAGGGGTTGGCAGTATCGACAGGTTCAAAATGGATTAAATGAATTCATGGCTGACAGGCTTATAAAAAATTAAAAAGACTAGACAGGAACATATCGTCAAACATGTATATGTAACGGATCTAGATGGTGGGAGAAATACAGGGAAACAAACAGGGAAAGTGGCCTGGTTTGCAACTTGTCCTTGAATTTCTCCTTCTATTGCAGTTAACTACTGAAATCCTCAGAAATAATTTGTAGAAAGCATTTAGTAATAGAAAGTAATAGATATGGGTGTTCTTTATTCTCTGACTTACATCAACCTAACACAAAAATTCTACTAGAACAACATTTGTACTGGCACCGAGAGTGGGGACCCTCTGCTTCATGGACAGACCACATGCAAAAATTGCAGCATGGATGCAAGGCTGGCATACTTGAGTTTAAAAGCTTTACCATACCTCCTGTAGAAGGAGGGAGGCAGACCAAAAGACCTCAGAAATGCATCCCATTTGAGACAGTAAAGCTATCCATTTACTTGGTTCCCTACCCTAGACAATAAGCATTTTGATGTTGAGATAGTAAAAAAAAATAAATCCCAGCATCGTTTCTCATGTGCTATTTTTCTCATGTACATGTTTCTCACGTAACTATAGTTACCCTCAACGTTTTATTTGCAAATGGTTTCTAAACGCTTCACAGGCTGGAAGAGCTATCGGGGTTCAGACAGCATGGTCAGTCACAAGCACAAGAGTCAATCCTTGATAACTGTCCACACACACCAATTTTACAGTAAAACCCAGATCTGCACTGACTTTGTTCACAGAAATCTAAAATGACACTACCTTACTTTTTTTTACTAGTATGAAAAAAGGGAAAGTAGTTAGCTCAGGTTGTTTGAATTCTCGGCTAAGAGTTTATCTCCATCTTTTTGGATCCATCTTTTTCACCTCCATCTTATCTCCATCTCATACTTTAAAAACAGCATACAATGAAAAAAATTGAACTAAATGTTCTTTGCAATATCCTACTGGTTAATCACCTTCCAAATTTCATCGCTGCCATAACATTCAGCAAACAAATTACACATATTAGACTAAATCATAGACATTAAGACATACATGCCACATTTCATGTGTTTCCCATTCACTACACTTACCTGCATTTCTTCTTTTGTGAAACTGGCTGCTTCATCACCTAGTTCATGTAGATACATGCAGTCTGGTTTTGGACACTGCATATTTTTTAGAAAATAACTGCAATATTTTGTTGTACCTAATGATGCCTGAAGGAAAAAAAAATAAAGTACTGGAGGTTAAGAGTGCCTTTAACCATATAAGACAAAAAAAAAGTTATATTTAAAAAAATTACCTCAAGATTTGAAATTCCATCATAATGCATTTTTGATGCAGATGGAATAAAAAGTCCATTTGTGAGAGATCTATATATTCTTGGGGATTAGATAATTAGGATGCATTCTTATTTTCACCCAATCCAAATAAATGCCTAAGAGCCTCAGTAAATATCTGCATAATCATAAGGAGGATAAGTGGCAGGGTCAGGAAATTAATACTGACTAGATCTTCTATAGCCACCAATTTGGTCAAACCAGCCTGAGCGGGCACCAAAAGGAAAATTTTCTGATTTCCCAGAGAGCTTTTGAGAGGTGTGGCATATGGACTACAGAAATGTTCTGTAAAAGCAAACAGTGGGTTTTCACACTGTACTATTATGCTATACAACAAAAAAGCCACTGTGAGCACAGGGAGGAGGTAGATATCTTTGACTCAAACTTTGTCTTAAGAAGTCATCTGCTAACCCACCAAAACACTGCCTGCTGGATGTTCACTGAACTTCCATTTTGAGATTAATAGCAGGAAAAGAAGTCAAAAGCCAATGAACTGGACATTCTTGTTCAGCAATACAAGCATACCCATACAAACAAAACTGTATACTAACTCCTGATATTAGTGTTCTAGAACCTATCTGCAAGAACATAAAACTATTACCCCACCTTAAGTGTTCTGCCGTCTACCACCACATTATTGACACACTGTATGGCTCTGAGGGCATCTTCTGACCGGATGTAGGTTACATATGCGCTGGCACTTGGACCCTAGGAAGAAAACATACACTATTTACTTATTTTTCTTTCCCAGACAGATTTGATCATTAAGTCACCTTTTTAGCTGCTCACTTCATAAACTGGTATATTCAAGGGCTTGACATTTTTAACAAGCAACTGCCAAAAAAGGCAGAAGCCATAAAAACTCATGTGAGTGATGCATAAAGAACGAAGAGGAAATGCATCAGTATGTTGCATGAATGTTCTAAAAATACTTCAAAGGCATCTTATCCCCAAAATACCGATTAGTGACTAAATGCCATATTGCTGCTTCTTTAAAGTTTCTCATCCTGTCTCCCGATTTTCAATCTTTCTACATTGCATTTTGCATCCAGCTTTGAGAGTCTGGTTGGAAAATGCCTCAGTAACTTAACAGTAATTTGATTCTTGCAAGGCCTTTTTTCCTTTTTACACTCTTACCTGTTGCTTAATGAGAAATAGGGAGCCCTAGAGTCACTCTGCACACATGTATTCTCTAAAGGAATTGAAATAAAAAAATTACAAAGACCTCTGACTTACCTGTGAGCCTGCATATGATGTGCTGTTATTAATGACAACTTTATGTATTTTACCAAACTTCCCAAAATATTCTGGTCGTTTCAAAACCTACAAGAAAAGAAAGTTCAAGTGGTGTACTTATAATTCATACAGAGGTGTACTTACTCTTCTGTAAAATTATGCAGCTAAAGCCTTTAACTAATAAAAACCAGGTCTCTTCTAAAAGAAGAGCACAAAGATTTGGATTTGTTTTCCCATATAAAAACATTGTTACTTGGAATATGAAGTATGTTGTCACTGCAGAACTTTAATGACAAATAACCCACATTTCATGTTGTATTTTAAAAAATTCTTTCAGTATTCTGATTACCCAAATCCCACCCTGGCAAAAAATATCCCATTCAGCAGAAAATGTTCCTGTATATATCTGTTTTATAATTTGATTTAAAAAATAAAAATCACATTCATTCTCGTTCCCAAATAACCATACACTTTAAACTTGAATTCAGCTATATTAATTACTAGGTACAAAATGCTGAATCCTGACTGCCATGCCCCACACTCCAAAGAAAAAGGGAGTAAACCAATCAGATCAAGATAATCTCAAGTTTTCCAAAGAACAGACTAAGTAAAGGAAAACAATAAAGGAAAATTTCCAAGGACAAAAAAAAACATTTTGGAATCGACATCATGTTGAAATGAATGACTATCACATCTGGAAAGGAGGAAAAATATTCATCTTGCCCTTGCTGGAATCAGTTAGTACTAACACATCGCTTAGGGACCCTGTGCAAAGCAAGATCACCAGCATATTAAACAACTCTGCTGAATTACTATTACCTGTGTACCAATTAAATTGGCAATATATTTGACACATTTATAACAAAAGACTTTTTTTTTCTTCCAATTTCTGTGATGGAAGAAGGTGCAAAAATACTGACTACTAAAGCTAGACAAAATAAGGGCACTTCCGGTTCTAGATAATAACCTGAGAGGTTATAAAGGAAGATCTGTTTCCCCTGCTCTGTCTTCATAGTAGCATTGGATAGTGCAGTTAAACTGTACTGATCCAAAAAGTGAAGTACCCTTTCTCTCTACCCAAGTGAACCTCAATGCCTTCAAGAACTAACAGCATCACACCCGGAACATCCCAAAGAACTACAGGGTGTGTTGTATAGAGAACCAGTGATTCACTGATCTCTTCTGACTGCTCTTCACTTGGTCTACATGCCCTCTTGAAACATACTACACTCACCCTCCAGGCTTCATTCCAGAAGAGAGTGACAATCCTAAAGAAACTTCCCTTTTACCCAAGCATACTGCAGATTATACTCCTGGTACAATATGACAGCATAACCTTCACAACTCTAAGAGCATGTCAACAGAAGAGGATCTACCTGTACTACATTATGATCTACAGACCTATTTCCAGAAACAGCACATAGCAGCCAAACTCTCATTCCAAATAATCTCAATTTATGAAGAAGTTTTTTTCTGCTTAAGTAGAAAGCTTGAATGCATTGTATACTTTTTTAACTCATCTCTCCCAGGCTAGGTTTCTTAATCAAGTCACCTTGTGCTATATGCAACATTCAGTAAGTATACATTATTTTCTGGTATGTCATCAAGAATACTGCTACCAATACACCTAGTACATCACATCCCCACCCACCAAATAAACCCATTCCTAGTTACTTCAAGTATTCAGTGTAAAATTATATGAGGTTTTAAAATAAATAAATAAACCATATTTACTACTATTTCTTTTAATTACAAATCCTCCATCTGGTCAAATAAACAAAATTTCAATAATAAATTCATATTGCATTTTTCAATGATAAATAGCCCCAAGCCAGTGCTGACAGCTGCTTGCAAATACTTGCTGCTATATTTTAGTACATACTGAAGTGTTATACACCAGTTCAGTTTTAACTTGATTTTTTTCTCTTCCCTTCTTATCCTTCTGTTTTTTCTCCTTCGCTAAAAGCAGCTTTTTACATTTGTTCTTTACCAGTCTACCAAAATACTGACCATACTCTGAGACCTCAGAAACAGCCATTTCTGTTTGAGACTTCTTTAGATAATGTAGTCTGATAAAGTGAATTTAATCTGGCACTGTAATTTTGAAGACATCTACCTTATCCTGTAGTATGTTTCCTCCATATTCTAATTAAAGATACTTCCGTGCATTAGCACTTACTCCATTGGCTACCTGCAGCTACAACTGATGATGGAAGTAAATAAAGCATTTTAAACATAATCAGTTTTCTCAAATGAAAACCTTATTTTTGATGATGTAGAGTTGTAAGTGAACTTTTTCCAGGGTCTTCCTCTTACTAACTTTTTCCCCACAACTTAAGGACAATCCTTATCTTAGTATATACTTCCAAGTGTTGGCTTTTTTCTTCTGTCCCTACAGGTTTGTTGATACTATATATCAATCCTTTGTAATCCAACCAAGCTCCCATTTTAGAATTGGTGATTCATGACATAGCTGTGTAGTGCCAGCAGATCCAGCCTAGGAAAATGAGTACCTGAGAAGTCCTTATGCTTATTTTTAGCTTAAAACCAAACTCCTGTTATTAAACAAAGAACGACTTCCCCCCACCCCAAAAAAAACACGGAACATCTGTACTCCCTAAAACAGAGACAAACGCTTATTGAGGTTAATTATGGAGAAGGAAGCTAAGGTCCCTTAAGAGGAGGGGGCCTCATGGCAGCAAACCTTTTCAACACTGCTTCATTTTGTACCCTTCAGGGAGACACAAGGGTATTTCAATGTTTCATGGCAGCAAGTTAAAAGCAAGATCTGCAAGTGTGGACTACTCACCTCTGGATCTGCTAGGCGTTGAGATAGCCCTACCACGAAGACAAGGTTCTTCTGTACAACCCGTACACTGGCCAAATGTTTGCGATTCTCTGATATCTTCTGTTTCCTCTCATTTTGTTTCTGTTTCTTTTCATTTTTTATCCTCTGCAGCTCTTCCTGGGAGAGTGGTTTGTACACTGCTGGATCTTCTGGATATGGCTAAACATAACAAACAGCATTAAAAACCAACCCATATAAGAAACAACACCTTTGAAAAACCATTAATCGCCATGTATTAATGCAAAAATTTATTTTTTATACTAATCTGATTATTATGGCAACCCACATTATAGAGGCATATTCAGTCCTCTGGGAAAGGTAAACATCTTGCTTATTTTCATGGAATTCTTCTATTTATAGACATAATATTGATTTGGGCAACAACCACATTCTAACCAAGCTGCTTAGTCAATTTGGTAACATTACAAGCAGCTGCAACACGACAGCCAACACATTGTGTTATAAATTTCACTAACAAGAGCTTCATGTAAGTAGGATGAAAGCATGTACTTTGTATGTATTGTCTGATACAGATCCAGGTACTTAAATGTACTCAAGACTGAGATAAGAAATCAAAATACAAATGTAGTTTCAGTGGTCCACTACGTTCAAGACAGTAACACCATGATACTACTCAAACTTTACATGGTTAATTTCTAGACAGATTTCAACACAATTAATGCATGCTGACTTGACAGTATTCTTGCCATGCTTATGTATCAGCTTGAAATTTGGTCTCTCCCTCCTACAGGTAACTTCTCAAACACAGATATAAGACTGTATATTTAATCTCAAAAGTATATAACAGAAGTACAAGTATCTGCGGAGTTACCTAGAAGGACTGCTCTATTCATGCTATAAAGGCACTGTTTAAGCTGGGTCTTGCAGACTACAGTGCACTGTTCTCTGCCCTAGATTACTCCGCAAAGCAGCCCCACATTCCTTACCTGTCCCAGTTTTTTCAGACTGAAAAGTCAGATTTCACACTGCACACAGAAAGCAATGCTAAGCACAAAAACAAGCCAGCAAAACATATCTCAAACAAAAAGAAGAATTTCTAAACATCAAGAAGTAAAAAATGAGAAGAACACAGAAAATGTGAATTAAGACAAAGACAGAAGCTAAGCTCAAGCTCACCAGTATGCTGAGCTAAGGTCCTTGCTTGTACTACCGTAACCAAAGGGTTCAGTGTCAAAGTCCAACAAAAAAGTATTTAACTTTTTCCTGACTGTCCTGTGTTAATGACAAGAGTACAAAACTAGTTGTCATACTAAATAACCTGAGAAAAAACTACAGCAGATGAAAATGCTTAGGTTAAAAGCATATCTTCCTCATAGCTGCATAATGATACTCAAAGAGCCACCACGTGCTCAGACTTGATAATCTCCTGAGTACATCCCCAAACAAATCAAGATCCATTTTTCAGTTTAAAGTTCAGCATCGTTACGCTGCAAGTGAGGTATCTTCTGAAAATATGCTACAGTTTACTTGAGCAGATGGCATCTCACAATCAAACATCAAGTCCTCCAGAACATGTTTTAGTATCACAAGGGAATTTAAATGTGTAAGATACTTTAGCAGTAGCCAAAGATGTCCTTAACATGAAAACATAACAAGGACTCAAGTTACCCTTGAACAGTCAAAACCATAACATTTCTCAAAAAGATGTATTTCTCAGAGTTAACACTGAATATGACATACAGATTTTAGAATGTACTCAACACCAATGACCAGCTACTAAGGTCACTGGAGATTTGCTATAGCCAATTATTATCTCATATTTTAACAGATCTACATACGAGGGCTTCTGAGAGGCAGAATAATTTTACACTTAATGAGCTTCTCAAAATCTGTATTAGTCAATCATGTAAACTAAACAAAAATGTTTGGTTTTTATAGGAAAGAAAGACTAGTAAGGGAAAAGAGTGAGTTAATTCAGTGAGTTAGGTAGGAATGGGAAGAAAAGTGCACCAGTAAAACAGATATAGTTCCAAATATATGGCTTGCC